AAATGTCAATTCACCTAAACCTTCTACACAGAAATTTAAACTATTTTATAGCCCCTATATAATTTAACATATGCAATACATTTCCGTATGTTATGCATTCCTTCCATCAAGTCTTCATATGTTTCGTCCATTACATGCAATTTGGAATTCAGCAATTATCTGGACTTTTATTTATTTCACATCAATGTGTCTCAATCAAGTCACAAGTCGCAACTGTATGAGAAAATAATGACTTGGAAAAATATGAGTCGCGTCCACAGAATACAGTATACACAGAATACCAAGTGATAACTAGAATATGGATGAGTACTTTTAGTTTCACAAAAAGTCCAGGTGCTGAGATAGATGTAAAAAAGTTCTCACAGCAGAACAGGCAGTTTTGTTTTTATAGGACATGTTGACATTTGGATTTGTACTTTGCACCAAGGGACGTGTGCTCTAAAATCACCAGGAGGCTGCCAAATATACTGTGGCTTGTTATAACACACCATGTCAACATAAGGTGAGATGTCTACTTGTAACAAATTGGGCACAGAACACAACAAAAAGTAGCGCTTGATGGGAGAAACTATAAGTAATACCTGTCACTAGATATTCTGTTCACTGTTTTGCAGAACTAAACTAGAACTAAACAAGATTAAGCTAAAAATTTTATAAAATATTTTAAAGGGACACTATTACGTTTTTCGGTGGAGGACCCAATACCAAATATTATCTACATATATTATCTACGCCATTGTTTCCCAAAGACTGGGTCGTGACCCTTAGGTGGATACAAGAGAGTTTTTGGGGGTCATCTTGTTATGATCTGCATGTAGATCAATTGAATGTTAAAAAGAAAAAAGAAATGGGGTACATTTAGTCTTCAAATAGGCGACTTGTGGAATTCTTTTATTGCTGGTTCAGTTTTTAATTGTTTAAAACTTGAGTAATATTGATTGTTCAGAGAGACACGATCACTCAGTCAACAATAAAATATCTTCATTAATGTTCAATAATGGTCAAATCCACCTTTTATTTTGTGATTTACGACTAATGTCTTTTGACTTTGGTCGCAAAGGTTTGTGACTTTTAAAATATGGGCCCCCAGAAAAAAAGTTTGGGAAACAATGATCTATGGAGATGTTATTTGCCTGAAATGTTCCACATATATTTTTTTTAAAGGGCCAATACTAAACTATTTTCTCATCTCTGTTATAATTTTGTTTCTTCCTCAAAAACATACTTGGAGTTGTAATTTTGTTTCATTTACACATCTTTAACATGCAAACCCTGCATATTTAGGCTCTTCAGATACTTCTCTCAAACAGAAAACACTCTGTTTCACTTTGTGATGTCATCTGGTAATGCAGGAAGTGCTCCACTACGTTTTTAAGCTCCATACACCTTCACTGGAGTTCATCATTTGGATGATTTTGGATGATTTCAGCACTAAATAAAAGTTGTTAATTTGAAAACTAGCACTACATGACATCACAAGGTGCAACAGAGAATTTTGAGCTTTGGAGATGTAGACAAACCAATAATAAGGACTATGCATACATGTGTGAATGAAACAAAATACAAGTCTACAAGTCTACAATGAAACAAAATACAAGTTTTTGAGGAGGTAACAGCATTATAACATGCTTCAAAGCTCACATTTTTATAATAATTGATTTATTTTGCAATAAACAACGCATGCAGTGGATCAATGGAAGACTCATATGGTGCATCTTTAAATCATTATCATTAAATATTTTATGTTATTAGGTTCTTTTTTCAGACCAAGAGTTTGTTTTCATACCTGACAGTTTGAACTGCTCACTAGCTGTCTTCTTCAGAGTGGTCATGTGATGTTGCTGTGACGTGTCTGGTCAGCTGATTTATACAGGTTTTGGAGCTGTTGACTTACCGGTGGAGGCAGGACGACAGCGCCATCTGCAGTCCAACTTCCTCAGGACAGTATCCCAGGTGTGTGAGAGTAAAAAAGGCCCCTCGTCCCGGTTTATAGTCAGCATCAACACCTGTATAAATCAGCTGACCGGACACGTCACAGCGACATCATGTGACCACTCTGAGGAACAGCACTAGTGAGCAGTCCAAACTGTCAGGTATGAAAACAAACTCTTGGTCTGAAAAAAGAACCTAATAACATAAAATATCGGAAGACCAAATGAACCTCATTGGACTATCATTAAATCTATATTATAGACTCGTGGTCCAAACTTCAAATATACACCACACAAAAGTGTTAGTCTTCACAAAATGACTTAAATCTCAGTAAATCTCACTGTCATGTTAGGAGGTACTTGGAGCTGGGTGTGGACATAGGTAATAGGCTACAATAGAGCTAACTCTCATTGATAATGTCATACAAGCAAACAGCTGACGCACCATAAACCCACCCCCTCCAGAGAAGAGCTCTATTACAGGCCCTGGCAGTGCCCCAGTCTCCTGCAGTCTCCACAGAGCACTCTCCCTAAACTTAAAGCAGGTCGACGGGCCGGTGTGCGTCTGACTCACTGCTCTGACCTCAGCTACACAAACAACAGGCAGGAGGTCTCCAAGAAAGATCACTGCTCCTGTTTTATCCACAACAAATGAGACCAAAAATGAACCATCTGCAAACAGCTTTTTAATATTAATGTGAAACTTTCCTGCTGGCCCCAAACTAAAAAAGTAACTTCAGATGAAAATATCTGGACACACCTGTACTGGAAACGTCAGAGTCAGATGCTAAAAATGTTGTGGTTTTGTGAAAATCTGTAATAATTTGCAGGCATGTGCAGATGTAAGCTATGCATGAGAATTGCCCCCCAAATACAAATCCAGGTGCAAGCAAAACAATATCATGCTTAGAAAGTCCAGTCTAGTTATAAAAAAGAACGTTTGAGAATTGGCCAATCTAACTATAAGTAAAGCACAGGTTGAAGAAGTAAATATACCAATTGCTGCAACATTACTACTCTGCTCCTTTTAGCCAGTTTATATGCCATAAAATAAACATAACTCTATATTTTATGGGCATAATGAGGCCACGTTTCTGCACTAGGGCAGCTGTGAGTGCAGAAGTAGCTCACCATTACAAGTGTGACTGTGGAGTTAATGAGTAACCAAAATGAAATACAGCATACGATAACGCTGTGAATAAAATATACATGACGATATTAGACAATGGATAAAGAATTAATACATAAATGGAAAGTAAGGCTGGGCGATATGGATTTTTGATTGTATTTTATTCACTCAAAAATTTAATTAAAATGGCTCTACTAATCAAATGTGTTCCTCCAAAGTCTGAACTCTGGTCCAAATCACATGCTTATACTGACAGAGGAGAGGCTGTAGAACAACCATATCACTGACGATTAAACATGACTGAATCTCCATATTTCGATTAATTGGCCAGTGGTATTTGAAAGTAAAAAACAGTGGTGTAGTAGGGATTTTTTTTTATGTGGGGGTATGCGATTCATGACGTCATCACCATCCACCTCCACCCCAAATCTGACATGCCGAAATACACACAGGTGTCATACAGATAGTTTGTTTACACGTGCCCAGGACTCAAGCAGGACTAAAACATAACTAAGCCAGGACTAAATCTGGACTAAAACAGGACTAAAAGAGGACTGAACAAGGAGGACTAAACCAGGACTGAACCAGGTCTAAAACAGGACAAAATCAGGCCTAACCAGGACTAAACCAGGACTGAACCAGGACTAAATCACGTCTAAACCGGGACTACACCAGGACTACACCAGGTCTACACCACTAAACCAGGTCTAAACCAGGACTAAATCAGGTCTAAACTATGAATAAACCAGGACTAAACCAGAAAACCAGGACTAAACCAGGATCAGGTCTAAACCAGGACTAAACCAGGACTAAATCTCTAAACCAGGACTAAACCAGGTCTAAACCAGGTCTAAACCAGGTCTAAACTCTAAACCAGGTCTAAACCAGGACTAATCTTGGACTTGAGAGAGAGACGGGGAGAATCCCATGTCGTGGAGCAGGGTGTCCGCAAAGCATGATCAGGCGACAGGTGTGCTTAGCCCTGTGGGGCGCGCATCTCTACGCCAGTCCTTTCGCCTGCGGTCACCCAACAGTCTACACGGGCGCACCTACGGGACTATCCTGGCACTCATTCCTGGTTCAGTTCTGGTTTAGACCTGGTTTAGACCTGGTTTAGACCTGGTTCAGTCCTGGTTGAGTCACTGTAGGACAGTACTGCAGATGTCATAGGTCTACGCAGGTTGTTTTCACAATTGCCAAGAGCTCCTGTTTGACATTTAAGTTGTAGGCTATTTTATATTTGTTTGTTTTTTTGTTGTTGTTTTTTTATTTCAGGAGGAGTGGATAAACGGTTTACTTCTGCATACCACGCCCATTACACCCCTGGTAAAAACTCCCAGAATAGTTGCTGGCTACATAAATTCTCCATATGACCCTACGGCGCAGACTACACCAGGATGCACCATATTTCTTTTGGCAATACAGCCACCTTTTGTTTACTACTGCAGATGGAGGAAAGTTATGTGAGGGTCATCCTGGTGGAGCCTGCTGGGTAGGGTCATCTGGATGGAGGTCTGCAGCCAAATGCCTTTCTGTTGATACTTTGCAGCTGATCATCAAGATTCCCTGGGGGTGTGATTCTAACTAAAAGCACTTTTCTGTCTGCATCTCTGTAACTCAAATTAGATGTTAATCTGAGCTTTGTTTTAACACAATTTGACCATAAAGAACAGGTGATTTGTGCTGTTAAACAAGTCTCTTTCAAATAACATTACAATACATTCCACTTTAGAGATATACTGTATGTAGAACACCCCAGCGTTGCCACAGCAAAGTATCAACACAACTTTACTGGCTCTGACAAATATCTAATAAAAGTGGGCAATGCAATAAACTTACTATTCAGACAACAGACTAAAAAAACAAAACAAAACCATGAAAAACAAGCCCTCCATGCACCTTTTACAAACAAAATCATGATTAATCTTGCAGGGTCTTACCTCCAGAGTGGGGGGGTGGGCCACACAGCAGGACCACTCCCTGACCCTCGCGGACCCTCACCGGATTCCTCCTCTGTGTCTTGAAGTTCTCCAAGTCTATTTACCAGAACACAAAAGCAATAAAGACAAATAATTATTCCATTGTTCACAAAATCCATAAACAAACAGAGGAAGCGTACGTGTTGGGCTTGTTTACACAGATAAAATATGCTCTAAACAAGTCATTTCTGCGACTGGTAATTTCATATCAGGAGACAGACCAGAATTTCGTGACAGCTATGGATAACTTTTATTGTTTTCTAATAGCACGAAGCATGTTTTGTTTGTATAAGCGTCTACATGGTGTGGCCGAGACCTAAACACTACAGAAAGCAATTCCTCAAGTATAAGTTCCACATGAACAGTTTTAATTGGAAATGCATATTGTTATCAGTTTTCTGTGTTCCATCCACCACGCACGGACCCGCCACAATTAAACCAAGAAACATCATTTGTGTGGTGACTGATTGCGTGTAGACAACCCCGCTGTGCAAAGGAAAATAAAGACCGCTATCCTCGAGCACTTTGTTTACTTATTTAGCTATTCTTTTTTTTTCATTTTTTTTACCTGTTGTGGCGGCTGCTGATATGGGTATAAGCTAATACGCAGCAGACATATAATGACATAATCAGGACTGGATTCAGAAAGAATGGAAAAGTGAGACCTCTAGGAAACAAGGGTAGCGTAATAAACGTGGCTTGCCCGAGCTCTACACAGGCCTTGGGTAGGTGAAAATAAATTACTTAAAGTGCATATGACTGTTTTCATGTTTTTCTGTTTATCACTTGGCTTGGTCTGATGGTGCATTTTACATCAGTTAAGTGGTAGTTTGTGGAAAGTAAAGATAAAGTAGATAATATTCCTTTTAAATGACCAGCCAGAACCATACACTTTGACAAAACTTTACAAAGACGAGTGGATCTGAAGATATCCTGTTTCCCCGATTTCAAAGGGTGTGACTGACAGGCGGATTAACCAATCAGAAAGACGCATGCTCTGCTCGCATTGAAAACAAACACGTGAAAGGGGGAAAAAACAACATAAAAGACTGAGAAACTGGATTTTTGCAGACATCAACAATCGAAGCACCAAACTCTTATTTATCTCAGGTAAATAAACTTATATACTTTGCTTTGAATGATTCACACATTTTGGAGAAGAGATGTCTTTCGTGTTCAGCTGTGGTTTGACCATCTCAAGTTTGGACAGAGGATTTTCACTGGTCAAGCAAATGTTCCTCTACCTAGAGTATGTTGTCAATAGAGAAATTCCATTCAAAATGCATGGACAATTCACAGGCAAGGAAGGCATTTTTAAAGCTGTTTAAATCTCCATTTGACAAAATAAAGGTGGTAATTATAACGATTGTGTAATTTAGAAACGTTTTAACCGTTGTTAACACTTTGGTTGTTTGGTAACCGTCATATCTGCTGTTTGTGTTCAACCAGGAAGTGACATTATTATCTCCTGCTTCCAAAAAGAAAAAAAAAAAAAAATCAGAAAAAAGATTTTTAGTAAAATCTTATGTTTTGTGTAGTGAGATTTGTATAGTTTGAAAATGTAATGATTAGAGATGATTTGTTTATTTCCGTGTTCTTTGCCGGCAGACAGATGGGCGGATGCATTAGTCGCCAATTGGTAATCCAAAGATGAACTAAGAGTCTAGCAGTCTATCGCTGTCTCTGTCTGAATTCCAGCAGAAGATGGAGGGTCTCACTGCAGCCATTTGCAAAATCCCTCAGCGTCGGCAAGTCCACAGCGAATCAGGCAAATTTATGGGTTTGATGTGTTTGTGGAAAGATGTAATAATAGTCAGGCAGCGGATGATGTATGCACCAGTGATATCCCCCAATCACAAATCTAGGTACACACAAAACAATATAAGCCTCAGGAAATGATTCCCACTTCAGCAACTCCAAGTTATAAAGAGGGTGAACATGAAAATGCATTGTTTTAAAAAAGGACCTACGGACACAACAAAAGGTAAAGACTATATAATACACAACTGTTGTCTACTAAATATGCTTAAAGACAAACCTTCAGTACCTGGGAAGACATTCTTCTGCATAGCAATGGGTTTCGGATTCATACCAGATGCCCTACCTGATCTGACCCATTCTTTCATTCTAACTACTTTGACATGTTTGTGTGTATCTCCATGTAAAAAGTTATTTGTTGAGTCAAAAGAGGTCCACATTTGCTGCAGTTGTTGTTTAGAGAAATGCCAATTTGTGGCCGCTCTTACATCAGTATCTCTCATGGTTCAGCACATCGGCTGATCTCTGTCCTGCTGACATTTCCACATGATCAAATCAAGAGATTTGTGTACAAGTTTAGAGTGCTGCTGCAAACTGAAGAAAATAAACATTTTGTTAAAGCAAAGCCAGTATGGTCATCCTTAACAGCCACACAATCATTATGCCACTTGGTTTTACACACTACAGAGAATATAATTATAATAAAATATACTGTTCACGCTAATTTATAGTGATCGCTGTTAAATGAAAAGTGGTGCACTCAAGATTTTTTTTTCCTGGTCAGTCAAGACGATGATGGGGCTTGACTGACAGGTGGGCCAGTCAATCAGAGAAATCTATGGCCTGTCTATATCAAAACAAATGCTGACTAAATGTAAAGTAGAAAGTATTAAGTGGTAGAAAATGTAAGTAAGAAACATTCAGTATTCCAACATCTTGCCAATAATGGTGGAAAGTAATAAACAAGTTTCGGTTATGGATGGGTGATATATTGGATCGGTATCTGTAAATACTGGTTATCATCCAAAGCTTACAGACAAATATAAGACATCCGTATTGATTCGAGAAATCCCATACTGAATCATCTCTATAGTTTTCTCTTCCACACGAGCCCACTTATTTACAGCACATTAAAAATGACTTTACAGAGAAGTTCTTCACACTCTAGCATCTCTCTTTCCTCAAAGTATTGGTTTAGTGAGCGACTAACAAGCTGTCTGATCTACATTAACTGCTGAGTCAGGCTGTGCAGTCTCAGAGCTGCAGGGCCCCCCTCACAACACTCACAGTCTAATGTTGTGATTCATTTTAGTGCTGTTAATATTCTGTACTTTATCTGCCTCCGATAAGCAACACTCTGCTATCTACACAGAAGCACATTTAAGAATCCAGCAGGAGACATTTGCTGTAGTGTTAGACAAACCCACTGTATACAAAAGCCTTCCTATGTGAAAGTACCACTTATCTACAATATCTTCAAGGTGGGGGGAACTCAACAGTCTTTTGATTTATGGTGTTCAGACAGACGAATGCAGTTTTTTTTTTTTTTTTTTTAAAGGCTGGCGTAATTATTTCTCTCTAAAGGAACCATTTCAGCTTTGCAACCAATCAATGTGCACGCTATAGATAATAGAGCAGCACGGTGCAGTTTACACCTACACCTCGCACTGTTTTAGCAGAAATTACCAGAGAATAATTGGAAAGCATCTTCGGTAAGCTTATAAGACGCAGGATTAGCAGAGGAAAGAGGCAAGGTTTAGAGATGTTGTCATGAGTCATAGCACATTTTTGTTTGTACCATTGTTCTACACAAAATTAAGTCTAATTCCAAGTTTGTGTATGTCCAAGATTTTCACTTTGGTCCATTTAGGTAACAACTTAGCCATTTGTAAACTGATATGTTACCATAGACTGTATATATAAATGAACAAAGCTAACCCGCTAGCCAGCACATTTCAAATAGGAAGTGAACATAGGGGCGGTTCCGGCTCCATCAACTCTGCTTATGCTTGACCTTACGTTGAAAATTGTTTAAACCAGCTTTACACGATCTTAGTGTTTTTATTCCTCTATTTTGTTTGTAAATAAATTCCTATTCCTAATATGGAACTCTGCTCCAAATTTGCCCCGTAACTGCCAACACCACCAGATTCATTTGACTGAAGATGAAGAAGACACACTCCCTTAGGCCTTTAATAACATTGCAATAGGTTTCTTCTAACATCTAAGCTTCTGTCACCCCATTTGTAAAAGTTTCATTATGCATTGCATTTATTGATTATAACTACATTTACCTCAACAAATGCTTTACTTCTTCATAAGCCATGTTTTTATTTGTTTGGGATGGAGCTTGTCGGTACAGTCCAAACTTATTTCTACTGTTTAATGTGCAATGTATTTGCACATTAAACAGCAATGTTTAATCAAATGGACCTTAAGACAGGCCAATATCTACAGGGGTGCAGAAGGGTGCATTGCAACCTTAGTTCAAATGTCTGCACCCTTATTTCAGTTGCTAATTTAATGGCAAAAGGAGAAATTCAATTTGTCAACTGGACAAAATTTTACTTGGTTGAATATGTTTCGCAGCTCATCCAAGCTGCTTCTTCAGCTCTGGTCAAAAGGCTGGTGGATACTTCCTTATATCTGCCTGAAGAGAGGAGCTAACTATCGTGAAACTACTCTGAAACTAACACACCTACTTGTTTACAGTTTCTGTTATTTAGTTAGGCCTATTGAACTCTGTTGGTACATCCTCTTGTGAAGTGGGTGTTTTGTTTCTCCAATGTAGTGCTCGCTGCAGTCTTCATTGGAGAAACAAAACAGCCACTTCACAAGAGGATGCACCAACACAGATGAGAGAGCAGCAGTGGAGCTCAGTCTACCATACATGTCCACCTAAATGCCACAGACCACTCCTTTGAGGACAGTGAGGTACAGATCTAGCCAGAGAAAAGAACTGGTTTGAGACGGGAGTTAAAGAATTTATTTATTTTTTTGTTAAGAAAGAGAAGCCTTCCTTAAACAGAAATAGAGGACTCAGACATCATCTATCCCCTAATTACAATTCCATCCTCAAACCTAAATCAAAACAAACAGGAGAACAATAGGGGAAGCCAGGTCAGGTTCCGAGGTTTGAAAGCACCCATTATGGCCCTGGATGGTTATGCTAATAAGACCCCACACTCAGTGCAGTTCAATAGGCCTAATTAACTAACAGAAACTGTAAACAAGTAGGTGTGTTAGTTTCACAATAGTTTCACTATAGTTAGCTCCTCCCTTCAGGCAGATATAAGGAA